GAAATAGATTCGTGTCTCATTGTCCATCTGTGTAAATTATGGTGCTATGAGACCCAGACTCAGGATGTTTTCAGTTACTACGAACACCGTTGCTAAGTGGATGTCTCCTTACCCCTGAAGAGGGGCTAGATGATGGCTATATACAGACCAAGGTGTGATTTTATGGGTCTTGGTTATAGACACGCTGCTAGGGTTCTTTTCTTATCTATCTACTTGTAAACTGATAATTGGATCATTCATTTCAGAGCATTTGATCTGGTTTTAGAGAACAGGAGTCTCTCTGGTAGTGGTTTGGATGACTTCATTGTTTTCATAGGTCCATAGGGACTGTTACAAGAATCAGAAATGTTGAAATGGAACCTCACTGACACTTTAGCAAAATCAGACAGCTGTTAGACTCTCATATCAGTTGTTTTGCTGGCTTGCCTTATATTTGTTTAAAAAAAAAAACAAACCCATGAGTAGGAAAGGGGGGGATGTCTAACTAATAGGAAAATTTTGAAATCACTATGGTAGAACTATCTTGCATCTCTTCTGTGAATCCTTAGAAATTCAAAACAATTTTCATATGGCATCTTTCCATAAAGAGAGTAGAGGTTTTTTTCTTTCCTATAAGCACATAATTCATTTCCATAAAGTGATTTACAAAGTTTGAGACAATATATAGTTTTTGCTTATAAAAAATAATTTGGGGGGGGGGTACCTAAGTAGTGCAGTTGGTTAAGTGTCCAGCTCTTGGTTTTAGCTCAGGTCATGATCTCACAGATTTGTGAATTCAAGCCTCATGTCGAGCTCTGCACTGGCAGCTCAGAGCCTGCTTGGGATCCTCTCTTTGCCTCTCTCTGGCCCTCCCCACAGACACTGTCTCTGTCTCTCTCAAAATAAATAAATAAATAAACTTTTTAAAAACAATTTTTGGAAAATTGAGAGATCTTCACCCTAATAAGATCCAGAGGAAATTGTCATTGTTTTCTGGTCATAACATGGGCAAGGACATTCTTCCTAAATGAGAGATAAGAAGTTTGTCTTTCCACTTGGGGGCTTTATGCTCCTGGAGTTGGCCTTGATTTTGGTCAAAATTGCATTCAGATTCCCCAGGAAAGTACTCAGAAAAGATTTACTTTGCATTTCTTTATAAAATAGGAGAAATACATTAATTACATCTGGTAGTTAAAGTGCATCGATAACCTCAGAAGACCTAGTGTAAATAGATGTCATAGAATAGATTAGCTTTCTTAGCTCAGAACCAGTGAGCTTTTCCTCATTTATGGGGAGATCTGCAATGCACAAGGGACAGTGTCTACATATGGGATGTGACAGATTAGATTACTTGCATTTTCTCACGCCATTAGGAAGACTGAAATGCAGCCCTGTTTGAGACAGCCCTGATTAGAGCAGGGACTCTTGAGCTAGGTTTTATGGACCACTGTGTAGTCAAAGGATGGTTTTTGGAGGTCACTGAAATCCCAGAAACTGCATGTAGAAGTGTATTTCTAAATTGTCGTCTATTAAGTTCTTTCTCTGAGAGGATGACATGTTAAAGCCACAGGTATAATCTCTAGTTTAATAACATGGAGTCCGTTTGTTTCTGTGTCTGCCTTTAGAATGTTCCTCCTCTTCTATAGTGGACTCCATAACCTAGGTTAATGGGTACTTAACCGAAATTCGTGGGCCCTATAGTGAATGTGTTTTCTCTGACATTGCTTGCAAAATGTAGTGCACATAAGGGTTTTTTGTGTGTGTGGCACATCTTGCGTTAAGTTCTCAAATGCTTTGGTATTGCCAAAGATTCACACAGAAGCCACCAAGAAGACCAGTCATTGTTTCTTCATTTGGGATGCATCCCCTTTGGTCCCATTTGCCTTCACAGCCACATGGCCCCTAGGTTTAGTTTGTTATTGCTTATGAAGACCGTGGACTGAGTGGTGACTCTTCCTTTCATGTAGACTTAACATAGGGTTGAGAGTCAACCCTTTGAACTGCTGTTTGGATTGCCAAGCTGGAAATCATTAGATACCACTTATACCATTTCTCCACGACTGTTTCTTTGCTGCTGTGTGCCTCAGCTCTGGTCATCAGACCATGATCATGAGGCATTAATCCACCCATGAAAACCTTTAGCAGAATGTTCTTATCCTCGTAACTGTAGTCTATCTTGAGCTAAAATTGGTTCTAAAGAGGACTTTATATTTCTCTTCTCTTCTCTTCTCTTCTCTTCTCTTCTCTTCTCTTCTCTTCTCTTCTCTTTTCCAGCCTGAGAGAAAGTAGACACCTTAGCCAGGAATTCTTTCAGAGATATTCCGGCTATGTTCTCCCCACCATTCGGGGAGCTTTTATACCTTCATTCTTTTGTTGATTGTTTTTGGTTGTCCTCTGTCTTCCCTTCAGAAAGGTTTATTCCAATAGAGGAAGGTTGTTGAGGGATTAGATGAGCGGGTGCTTAGGGGACTCTCTGTACTTGCCAAATGATCTTTTAAAAAAAGTATTGAGTATTTTTCTCTTAATTTCCCAATCATAGTGTGAATTCTTCTTTGCCAGATGATTCTTGGGGCTTTGCCTGGGCCCTGTGTGCCAGAGTCGGGGATTCATCTTGGCCAGACGCTGCCACATATTGAAGAGAGAGCCGTTTCCAGGAAAGCTCAGAGCTGTGGCTCCTAGAAATCTTTCCTTGATTGTGTGAGCCAGGCCTTGACACTTTTGACCATCTGGAAGATTTTGGACCCCAGCACCAATATCTGTCTCATACACATTTTTCTTTTCATTTCTTAGGTTTTTTCTTAAATTCTTGTTCATTTGAGATATATATTTATTGCTGTTTTATCTATACACTTCAAGAGTGGTATGCCTGAGGGCTGCAAAGAAAATTATCAGAAAAAGAGTTGACGTACCCTCTGTGGATACACATGGCTGTTCTTCGTGCCATGATGGTGCTCAATAAACAGTTTTGGAAGGAATAAATATGGAAACTTTTTACTGACACGTACTGTTCATGACAGAGTGTTTCTTAGCCATTTTTCAGGTACTCTTGAACAAGTAATGACTTCATCTCTCCTTTCTTCGCTCTCCAAAGTATATGCTTTCTGTAGTGTGCGTCTTTCTTTTCATGCTACAGTTTGACTCTTTGCCCCTACTCTGTTTCTACAGCCTTTCTTGTTTACAGTGGCCATCAATCTGTTTATTTCTAGATATGGACAGCTGTGCAAAATGCCATGAGGTAGAGTTTGTACAACCAAGAAATGTGTTATTATGCTATAGCTGTACTTGACATCACTTTTCGTTAGTACTCTTTTTTTAGTATTTTGCATATGTCACATGTAAAGATAATCCTAGTTGTTTTGCAGAAACAGGTCATGATAGTATTGCTTATGTTCTTAAACTTTTCTGCAAATTAGCTAGCTATGTCCCTTTGAACCTATTAATATAGTCAGCCTTTTTCACCTTTTAGGTAACATAAATTTATGAATTTGCTCTAGTAAATCAATCATTTAAACAACTGTCTACTCTCTGTTTAAGCACAGTATTATAGTAAGACATATCTTTGCCTACTGAGTATTTGTAGTCTGTTTCAGAGATTGAGACACACACTCAACAGTTAATGAATGGAGATGGTATTATACACCATAGTGCAAATTATTAATAGAATAAAACACTTCCATGGCATTGGAAATTAGAAAATTAAATATCCAGTTGGTACTCACTGAGTGCCTACCATGTGCTAAGGCATGAGTATTGAAAGTAAATTTTGATGCTGTATTATTGGTGATCCGAGAGGCTATTGTGGTAAGTGACATTGGTGCCAAAGGCAGTCCCTACAATAAAAGGCAGAGATCACTTGAGATCAAACTGGGCCAGCAGCCACTGGAATATGTAAAATAGTCCAGCTTTGAGTGCTCTATCCCTGATGGCTGTATAGACTCAGATCATAGATCTGGGCCATTTAATGCTCATAAGGATTATGGCTGAGATGTTCCGTTATTCCCAGTGTATTACTCAGTTTTTGTCTTGCCAGCTAAAGTCATTTTTCGTGCTTTCCCTCTCATCACTTTCTGGTGCTCTTGGGTGAGTTCAACTTGTTAAAATATGTGCTTCTTGGGTCTTGCTTCACCCCTCTGTACAGAAAGCCAGTATGAGACATGCTTCTATGAAAGCATCTGTTCGGTATTTCTTTATTCACCCTTTTGCTTTTCTGTGTTCACGTTGACCTATTTTGGCTGGTACACTCTGGGAAGATGTTGAGCACACTGTCTCCAGCTGTCCTCATAGGTGTTTTTTGATGATGTTAATGATGATAGCGGTAACCTATAATAGTCCTTGATTTACTATCAAAAGTGGTCACAGTTTTCTTATTGAGACTCATGGTCTTCTTCCCTGTTTTGCTTTTGTTTTTGTTTTGGACCAGGTCTGCATACAATCAGTTTTTATTCTGTGTGTTCTCTGTACTTCATGTTTTTTTGGAAAGCCCCCTGAAGCTAATAGCTGGGTTGATGAAAGCTCCCCTTGGCAGTCCCTTTCCTGTAGCTTTCGGCACTTTTCTTTGGCAGAACTCACTTCACTTTTTAGAGGTTGGAGCTCACCTGGAAGAGAAGAAAGTCCTTTCTCGGGTGATCCAGAGGGATGACCCCCCCCCCATGGCATTCCATAATCCCATTTCTTAGCTTTTTCATTTGACTTGTAGGATAAGGCAGTCCTGAGGGAAGGTAACTTTTGTTCTGTCTTTGCTAACTTTGAAAAAAAAAAAGTGTTTATTTGTGTTCTGCTATTACTGGGAGCTGAATCATGTTTTAATTGAGATTAGTGTGGGTTGCCATTTTTGTAGTAAAAAATGGTCAAATACTGGCAGCAGCATCTAATTCAACCTAGTATAGTATATCTTATCCATAGAATCTAAACTACCTTACAGCTTCTTTTAACGGTGAGCTATGGAAAAGTATTTCAGATGCTATGCTCTGTGATTTTAATGGAAAGCCAGTGTTAAGATTTCTCTCTCTGTTGCTTCCTAGGTCACTCTGCACCTAAATCCCATCTCCTCGGTCCACATTCACCACAAGCCTATCGTGTTCATGCTCAACTCCCCACAGCCCCTGGTCTGGCATCTGAAGACAGAGAGGCTGGCAGTTGGGGTCTCCAGACTTTTCTTGGTAAGTGTTTGAAACCTTCCTTGAGTGTCCTTAGCACAAGGATATAATGACCCTGAAACTTTACAGGTCTTTTTAAAAGGCTGATTGCATTGAAATAATACCAGAGTCCACGCTGTGTTAAATTGGAAGAACGCTCTTAGTGGTATTTGGGCAGCATAGAGAAGGAGTCACGGAAAACAAACACCACACGTGTGTGTCTGCCTGTGGAAGGAGGATCTGGTCTAGTCTGCATGTTAGAGGGGGACCTGCAGTCATTCTCTGTGTGGCCTGGGCCTTGGTCCCTGCTCTGAGACTCCTGCCGGCTGGCATCAGGAGCAATGTAAACATTGTAAACAGCCACTAGGTGTGTGGTCTCTGACCACAAAACAAATACACACAAACCCATTCTATTTGTATATAACAGAGGCCTGCTTTCTGATATGAGGATCTGTTTGTTGAGAGAGTGACACAGCGAGTTCCAAAATGAAAACATTTGTATTTTATAAAAAAGCTGGAACCCAGCTCTTGTGGAAAGATCCAAATATTACCTACTATTTGTAAATCATGTCCTTTTGAGTTTGCCAGAACATTCAAGTTTGCTAGTTGTGGAGAAATTGATGGGTTGTTTGGATGGAATTTTTGGGGTATGATATCATGTCTGATGATGAGCAAGACTGCCCTTCACAGTGATAACTCACGTTGTCTACTGCTAGCACTTCATGCTGATGTCCTCAACTGCAGAGCCTTAGGCTTTTAAACCTCTTTGCCCCAAAGCATCCAGACCAAAAAGAGGCCTCAGTTAATAGTCTTTTTCTTGTATAATGAGCATACTTCATGTAATTAATAACTCTTACTCTAGATCTGTACTTATATTTGAAGAATACATCAAAGGTACCCGTTGAATAAATTAGGAATCCATAATCAATACAATTAATAAGTAGAGAAATAAATGAGTAAAGACGGACAAGGTCGGTAATCTAGCAGGATGATAGAGTTAGAAATTCCTGATTTTGAAGATGTGGTTTATCTATACCATGGAATACTACATGACAATGAGAAACAATGAAATCTGGCTATGTGTCGCAACATGGATGGACCTTGAGGGTGTTATGCTGAGCGAAATAAGTCAGTCAGAGAAGGACAAATATCATATGTTTGCACGTATAGGAGGATTAGAAGGAACTTAACGGAGGAACAAGGGGGAGAAGAAGGGGGGAAGTGGTGGGGGAAAAGGAGAGAGGCAAACCATGAGAGACTCTTGAATGCTGACAAAAACTGAGGACTGATGGATGTGGGGGGAGGGGGGATGGGAATGGAGGAGGGCACTTGTGGGGATGAGCACTGGGTGTTATATGGAAACCAAATTGACAATAAACTATTTGTAAAAAAAAAAAAAAAGAAAAAAGAAAAGAAAAAAAGAAATTCCTGATTTTGCGATCATCATAGTAAAGGTTTATTGGGCAAGAGTCATCAGTAGAAGCTAAATGTAGAAGTGGAGGGAGTTTGAGGAACAGTATATTTTATTTAAATTACTCAAACAACTTACTAATAACAAAAGAAACAGTAACTGCTATAGGAGAGTTACCCAGCAGTACCTTAACCAAGTCATCAAAATCAACATCACCAGTATGGTACAGGTGCACATGATGTGCCTTTGGATGTGATAACCCGAGAAAGGGCATGGCATCATTTATGTTGTATTGTAGCCAAACGTACACATATAACCTGGATCTAGTCATGAGGAAGCATCAGGCAAAACCAAATTGAGTGACATTCTGTCAAACCCAGATGGGACTTACTCTAGAAGCTCTTTCCCCATACTGGCTCCTTCATATTCATAATCATTATCAACCTCCTGTAATTAAAGGTATTTGTGATAGTAAGTATAATGGCTATGATCATAAAATCTTATGTGCATTTAGTCCATGGAGTGCTGAGCTATATTGTCCAGTACTGTAAACAGTAGCTATGGTGAGCTATTTAAATTTAAATTAACTAGGGGCACCTGGGTGGCTCAGTCAGTTAAGTATTTGATTTTGGCTCAGGTCATGATCTCATGGTGCCTGAGTTTGAGCTCCACACTGGCCTCTGTGCTGATAGTGTGGAGCCTGCCTAGGATTCTCTCTGCCCCTCCCCAATTTGTTCTCTGTCTCTCAAAATAAATAAACTTAAAAAAATTTAAATTAACTAAGATTACAAATACAGTCCCTGAGGCACAACAGCCACATTTCAGGTGCTCAGTAGCTACATGAGGGTACCACACTGGGCAGGGTGTGGACAGCATATGAGCAAATGTTTTGCCCACCCTGCTTTGAATCCAAGTGGCAATTCAAGGCAAATTATTTTATTTTTCTAAGCCTGGTTTTCCTCACTTGTAATATGGGAAAATTAATAGTTACAGCATCATGGGGTTGTTATCTTGAGTAAAAGACATTACATGTAGCATGTTTAATATAGTGCCTAACCCTTTTCATAGATATTACCTGTTGTTGTTGTGACTATTTAATATTAGTCATAGTAAAGAACACTTGGGTAGGATGTTGAATTTCTATTTCTGTTTGTTTGTTTGTTTGTTTATAGGGAGAGAGAAAGAAAGAAAGGGTGCACACAGTGGGACAGGGGTGGAGGGAGAGGGAGAGAGAGAATTCCAAGCAGGCTCCACGCCCAGTGCAAAGTGTGATGCTGGGCTCAATCTCACAACCGTGAGATCATGACCTGAGCTGAAATCAAGGGTCGGATGCTTAACTGACTGAGCCACCCAGGCACACCATGGATGTTGAATTTAAATTTCTAATTATAAATGTCTAGGTTGGCCTAATCAAGACTGAAAGGAGTTTGTATTTCTCTGAGCTACAGGCCCAGATGAAAAGTTTGGGCCACATATATGATAGTTGTACTGGTCACTTTCTGGACTCTTCATGAACCTACCACTCCATAGGTTGTAATGGAAAGTATCTTATTCCTAGTTATTATTTATTTGCTTTAATTTTGTTTGAGATCTATAGAAACTGCATCTTGGCCATCAGTTTAAAATGCACTAATGGGGGACGCCTGGGTGGCTCAGTCAGTTGGGCATCCGACTTCGGCTCAGGTCATGATCTCACGGTTTGTGGGTTCGAGCCCCACGTCGGGCTCTGTGCTGACAGCTAGCTCAGAGCCTGGAGCCTGCTTCAGATTCTGTGTCTCCGTCTCTGACCCTGCCTTGCTCATGCTGTCTCTATCTCTCTCTCAGAAATAAATAAAACATCAAAAAAATTTTTTTTGAAATGCACTAATGGTTAAAAAGGAGATAGTTTTATTTAAACAACTTAACATCGTCCCTATTTGGAGTTGATCCCATGTAGAGATAGCAGATCAGGTGATGAACCTAAAATTACCAACATAGGGCAAACAGTATTGGGTGAGGCCAAGGATTTATATTTGGGGACACTTGAACTCTGCTTTGTTATCCAACAAAGCTTTCTTTAGGTAAAATGGTTTATTCCCATCCTTACGTTTTTTCAAGGCCTGGAAGAGCTGGTAGAACATGTGTTGCTCATTCATTTTCTCATGTCCATGGATGATCTTACAAGCTAGGTAGCTCTCCCTGACAGTGTGTGAGGTGAAGAGGGTAAAGGCAAGCTCTTCCCTTGCTCTGTGTTGCTGGAAAGGAATTTCAGGGTATATGCATCCACTGGATAGCCACTGCAGCAGAGGGGTCTACCGCTGGATGGAATACCAGGGATGAGTTCTGTTTATCCATGTATAGTAGCTAAGGGTTCACATTTGGAGATAAGACCATTATATTATTTTACAAACACTTCAGAAGGCCCATGCAGTTTTCAAAACCTGGGGCTTAGCCATTTCTATCACTGTCTCCTCCCAGGTTACCCAAAGAGCTCAGAGTTGTGGAGGGAGAAAGGCCGTCTCTTGATTCTTTGTCTAAGATGTAGTTATTATTTATTTGCTTTAATTTACATTATTGGCATTCATGTAATGCCTGCACCACTGTCTTAAAACTGTCTTTACTTTCCAGGTAGAGTTATAGCACTAAAACTATAGAGTTTTAATGTTTTTTATTTATTTCTAGGAGAGAGAGAGAGAGAGACAGCATGAGCAGGGGAGGGTCAGAGAGAGAGGGAGTCACAGACTGAAACGGGCTCCAGGCTCTGAGCTGGCAGTCAGCACAGAGCCCGACGCGGGGCTTGAACCCACGAACCGCGAGATCATGACCTAAGTGAAAGTCGGACGCTTAACCGACTAAGCCACCCAGGCGCCCCTTAATGGTTTATTTATTTTTGAGAGAGAGATAGAGACAGAGTGAGCAGAGGAGGGTCAGAGAGAGAAGGAATCACAGAATCTGAAGACAGGCTCTAGGCTCTGAGCTAGCTGTCAGCACAGAGCCTGACGCGGGGCTTGAACCCACAAACTGTAAGATCATGACCTGAGCTGAAGTCAGATGCTTAACCGACTGAGCTACCCAAGCTCCTCCAGGATGACGTTTTAATTTAACTTGACATGTCTGTATTACTGTAGATGCCCAAATTTAAAAAGGGAACATTTCATAATTAGTTAGCAGGGACATTGTTGCTCTAAATGTCTCAGCCACCATGAGAGTGACTAAAAATATTATACTTTATACTGTCCAATGAAAATATCTGTCTTTTTTTCTGTCAAATCATTCCAGACCTCCTTATGATTTCAGTGCGGACAAGGAGGAGCATGTCAGGCAGGGAGAATATGGGATTGAGTTTCCTCTGTGAGTGTAGTTCCATTATTGAGTTGTTCTGGTTACATAGGAAATGGGATGAAGGGTGATTGTTTCATCGTCAAGTAGTGAGTCTTTGAGTACGAGTCTCACACATGTGTGTGCTTGTGCACACGCACATGCACAATGGAGTTGTCACAGCTGTATAGATTTACTTTTGTGGGGTGTCTGGATGGCCCAGAGAATACTGAGTAGGTTAAAGCTGTCATTCCATGCAATTAGAAATAAGAATAATCCTAACCTCCCTGTCTGGCATGTTGAAACTACAAAGAAA